TGGAGGAGAAGACGTCAAATATACATTGATGCGTGAATATAAATCCGCGAATTGCATTATGCTTTCTGGAAATGCAAAGAGGTCTCAATAGCACAGCCAACGCGAGTTTGCATCTTGTACGGTATGCATGCTCTATAAGAGAGACAGAGAGAGAGAGAGAGAGAGAGAGAGAGAAATAGAATGCTGGCGCGCGATAAGTAAATTGTCGCGTAATTATTCCATTTGGTCGTTTGATCGCCCGACTATTCGCTCTCGAGGCCCTATTTACACAAGCCAAATTTACAAAATTCAGGAATTTGTTTATTATGCACAGGATAATGAAGTTTTGATTTTACGAATGATCTGAATTACCGATATATCTACGTAATTCTTTCTGAGATTATTATACCTTTCATATGTATTAGCTTTTATTTTGCAAATTCCTTAATTTTTAAAAAAAATGAATTTTTTTAATTTACAAACGTCATCAATTACAAAGTCACTGACAATGAAGTCATCTTTATTTCAGTATTTTTGTAAATAATATATTAATTAAAAAAGAAACAGGAAGAAAGTAAAATCTTAATTATTTTCCAACGAATCTCGTGCACGAACGCAATCAGCAACAAAATTACACGTAATTTTGCAGACTCAGTTGAATTTGAAGAATTTTTAATTTCATTTATTTATTTGTAGCATATTTGGGTAAAAAATGAAGAAAATAATGAATTATTTAACTTTAATTTACAAGTCATTGAAGCATGTTTATTACATTACTTGATCAATATGAGAAAATTAATCTGTTAATATTAAAATTGTTGTATTATTGTGAAAATAAAATGCTTTGAACGTCAAATTGACCATTTAATACTTTTACAGCTAAGCCGTTTCCTGTACGTAACTGCAGTCTAGCGAATCAAACATACACGTCAGTGCAAGTGAGGTGTCATGCTGGTTACGACGGTGGTCTGCCCCAGGAATTTTTATTGGAAGTTTACCATGGCGATATCGACTCGCTGGCGAGCATGAGGCCTCTTTACAATGTCAGTAACAAAGACGAGCCATTGTTTTTCCTCACTAATTTAGAAACTTCTGTCGACGTGGGAGTTCACGTTCTTGTCTATGCTGTCAACGCCAAAGGTCGTAGTCAACCAATAGTGTTGAGTGAAGTTACCTTCCGAGATGCTGAAAAGCGGACTGGTACGTAAACCTTGCTTATCTTATTGAAAAGTGTTCATGGAGAAAATAAAAGTTGATCGGTAGAAGGCAAGGGATGACAAAAAATCACTGATGCAACTATGTACAAGAAATAGCTTCTATTTAACCAAGTCTACAGTTGAATCTTAAATTTGAAATTCAGCGAATAGGATTATTAATTTTAATTGCAGAACGAATAAATTTTCTCAAGCATAATCTAATTAAAATTCGGAGTTGCCTTAAATTTACCCCGGGATGAACTTTAATAGCATGAAACTCTGAATGAAATATCGATCGTCTTATTATAATCCTATTACCTGACCAGAATGCCGAGAAAATTCCCTATGCATAATGATGAGGTAAAGTATCGAGAGAGAGAGAGAGAGAGAGAGAGAGAGAGCGAGAAAGATACATGGGGAGAGAGAGAGAGAGAGAGCTCCATTCAGCTTTCATGTCCTCATAATTAATACTTGTCTCGGTGTTAATAGGCAAACAGAAAATTATGTTCCCTAAAATATACGCTGTGTTTACCAACTTTTCAAAATCAATCAGTTTGAAAACAAAAACTTATTATTTGACGATTATAATGGAATAACACGTTATACGGATATCAAGTTTTTACCTCTAACATATAGCTTGAAGATAAAACAACAACAACAATAACGAGGTGTGGCGCAATTGACGAGAAGATAATAGCCAGTGATCGTATAGAGATTAGCTGATGCGTTCGCCATTTTAAGAATTGACAGGTTTCTGACTACACTCGCGCGTACCTCCTCATGGGTGGTGTCAACGTCGTAAGCGAGGGAGAGAGGGAGAGAGAGAGAGAGAGAGAGAGAGAGAGAGAGAGAGAGAGAGAGAGAGAGAAAAGGAGAGAAAAGCATAGGATAGCTAAGCAAGACTGATCACCTAGGTAGACGTGCAGGCGCCGCACCTCCTTCTATATCCTAACCAGTTACGCGTATGTGCAGCTGCTTATCCGCCTGAAAGATAAGCCTCGTGAAGTCGCAGGGGGCGTATTTCTCGGGCGCTGGTGCTAGTCTTGAAAGAGCTTACGGGCTAAATGATTGGCATCCAACTTCCTTTCATTTCCACCTTCTATATACCTATTTTAATATCACGATCATCAATTAGTTTTACGCTGATCATTTAAAACGTACGATAGCTCAATAACTAAGGTTTTTAATGAATTCCTTTATAACAAAGTATCAATAAACTCGAGTTGATTCATTTTTCTACCCTTAATATTATTTCCTGTACTTGCATATGATACGAACAATTTTGAAATTTCTAGAATGTTGTTACTTTTTGTACGCGTTTTCAATTATCCCTGCTGCTACCGTGCTGTGTATCTCGAAAGTGAGGAAGGAAGGAAAAAAATTGGCTACTGTTCACTCATTCGCTTCTCGGAACTCTGAATGGATTTTGGCATGGTTTCAATTTTGCGTGCACTCGCGGCAATCAGCCGGTAAAAACATGGAGAGAAAAAAAGCTACAGCCAAGAAGTAGCTTGTAATCAGAACGAAGTGAGAATAATTGGGTACGATGAAACTTATCGAATCGACTGATTTAACGTGTTAATCAATTAATGATGAATACCATGTAACCATTAACATCTTAATTGAAAGAATCATAATTGTGAAATGATCAACTCTACCATAGACCGATAAATATTGAATACTAGTGCATACTAATACCAATACTAGTTAAATATCAATAAACATCATCATTAAATATCAATTAACATCAATAAATAACTTAGAAAAACAAATATTAATGATTAAAAAAAGTATAAAAATAAACTATCATAGTCTTTAATACTTAAAAGTGTAGAGCAATATCTTTATGAAAATTTGTTCTACTTAGTTTGATATTATATAGAAAAGTTAATAAAATGAAATAGATTTTTCAAGCGATTGGCATTGAGCACGTCGTCTCAAGTACCTCAACGTAATGAACAATTTTATAAAATCTAAGTTTTCTGATAAATGCTGGAAATTTGCTCTGCAAGGTTAAAAAAATCTCGACGTGGAAGGTGCAAGGCCGTATGAAGGCGCGTTCGGCGATGATTTAGTCGTTTACAAATGCACAAGATTCGAAAGGAAAGAGAAATTAAGCTGGAGGAAAATTACGAAAGGCCTGAGCGGCTTAATGTCGAAAAAGGAGGAAAAACGAGAAGGAGGCGGTGAGAGAGGCACAGACGAAAAGAGGTGGAGTACGGAGAGAGAACCGCTTAATGACCAAAGACCCTAAACTTTTACGCCCTCCGACACGTCGTCGTCTGAATATTCGTGCATCTTTTCACTCTTTCTTTACTTTCGTGGGCATGCATATTCAATCAGCTTTATTAATGTCTCAATTTCTCACCAAGACAGCCTCTGCTTCGGACAGACTGTGCAGCTCCTTTCATTCTCGAAATTCTCATCTGTACAATGTGATAACCCCTCTGAAAGAAGAACAGGAGGAAGAAAAAGGAAAAGGCCACGCTGTCCCGGAAACTTTCACATGTAACTCTTAGGAAAATCTTTGCGGAAGATCAACTATAATCCCGAGAATCGTCGCTCTTTCCGTCTGACCCCAGCGCCGCGTGCACTCTTTCGCTTTTCCCGTACTTGGGGTATCTCTATCATTCCAGTCCGCGGGGCATAAGGATGAGTCGCCGCGAGCCATTATTCGTAATTGCTTTCCTTAATTCGGCTCTCATTAAAAATTCTCACGTGGGACGAAAGAGCAAGAAAAGAAAGAAGAAATTCTAGTGAAAGTATAATTTTGTCCTCGTATAACGAGTTATCTTGACCTCTCTCTGGCTGCCATAATTTCTCACATTTTTGTCGTTCGGGATCCCTTTTCTCTCCTCAACGCGTCTCGTCACCTTTTTCTTAGTTCCGTCGCGTAGTTAATCATGCAAATATATTTTTCACAGGGGATGACAGAGGTAAGGATGGCAGTAGAAAACTTAATTAAAGAATTGTACAATTAAACTCGGCGCGTTCAAGGAAATGCAAACCTTGACTAGCAGCAGCAACCTGTGCGCACTAACGGCTTTTATATCCTTTGTGTTTATCAATTTAATGATAGGAATCTCCATGGGTGGTGCTGGTGGCGAAGGGAGACTCGCTAATTACTTTTTCCATTTCATTAAGCTTTTCAATTTTCTTACGGAAGGATAATTATAGCGGCGCCGAGAGTCGCTCTGATGGATTGATACAGACGTTCTATTAAATGGACTATAGAGTTCATGCAATTATACGTTTTCAAATTCAAGCCTCGATTATCTCACCCCCTCTGCTCAGATTTTCAAGTAAAGTTTGCTGATTTTATCATAGCAAATGGCTTTGTCAGATCGCAAAGCTTCATTTTGATTGCTAAATCAAATGAATAATGATGACGTCTGATGAGAAAACTTCACGGTAATTTTATTAACAGCCAGGCGGCCGAAGGAATTTAGAGCATCGAAGTTTTTTCACTTTTTTCTAAAATTTAAAGCACAGAGGTTTTAACTTTGATAGTATAACTTTAACAGTAATAAACGACGATAATATGTCTTTCAGTGATACGCTGTAATGGCGAAATTATCAATGCCAGCATCTGTATCTGTATTTGTATTGCTCTCGCGGTTGCCATCGCAACTACAACCGCGCCTACTGCATCAAATCAAAAATTTGGGTTTTCTTATCCGAGAATAAAAAGCGCTCGCTCTCTCATCTGGGGATCGACATACCGATAACACCGTCGTGGTCTCGTCTGTTCTTTCCTTGTCGTTACCTGCTGAGTGTCGACTGGCCTCATGGCCTTCTCTCCAAGGTTATCTCTTCAGCTTTGAATTTTCTTCATGAACCGTCGTGAGAAGGTACCAATGGACTGGGGCAAATGTTCAAGTTCCGCTACAACTACTAAACGAGTCTAAGGGGAGTATGCGGTATCGCAGAAGAGATCCTCAGATGGCGAATCGTCGTTAGATCACCGCAATGCAGAGATAAGTACCTAGATAAATACCTGACTCCGGCTCAGTCAGTAAATTGAAACCTTCTCTATTGTTAACTTCGATATTTAACTGCTGGTTTGTAATAGCGTGATCGAATGATTGAGTGTATCTGACTATGTAACGAAATTAAGTTTTAATCTTATTCTGCCTTTTTTTTTAAATTATGATAATTGTATTCTATGCTCATACTATCATATTTCAAATTAACAGCGACTCAAATTTCTTAGCTTGCGTAGCGTTAGCTTACTTTGCTCCAAAGTTATGATAAATAAATCAGCCTATTATGAACTATAATTCTCTTTCTCTACCTTACTTCTCAACTTTTATCTATTATTTAATAATTTTATAATATATTAATTACAACGCTTAATCGGCACAAAGTCGCTTGAGTGATACATCTAATTCCGAAACATTATTTATACAGCTAAAAAGCCACCCTAAATACACAAGATGCAGGAGGAAGCCAAAGTGAACACGAGAATAGCAAAGAGGGGATATTGCTAGTAGCGTTCACAAGCCGTTGGGACTTGGAGGGCGGGAAATAGCGAGAGGAGGTTGGATATAGCGTATAATCATTATCGGATCGAGCGATTTCCTGCGAAGCGGAACTAAACACGTCACTCGCGGAAATTGCTAACATCTCGGAAATACCAAATAATTAGGTCGTCGGTCTTAAAGGACAAACATGACAGCGCAATCACCTATGTTACAACTCTACCATACACACATTTTGATTTTTCCTTTCAACTTCTGACTTTCGAATATAACTCTAAAGCGAGCGACATGATCACATAAACGGCATGTATGGATTTGACATTCGGACGAGTTGCATTGTATACAAACATCAGTGCAATTGTTGTGATGCGTTCAGTGTAAGAATTTGGAAATATTTAGATAAATATGATTTTGCTATATTACTTTCCGGTTCATCTATTGACCTAATCAATTACATCGTAAATAGCTGCAACCAGCTGTAAGTTATCAAATCCTAAATTTCAAAGATCAATTAATGGAATTC